GGTTTGTGTGGCCTTCGGGCCCACGGCCCCTTCCTGGGTCTGTGCCCCCTCTGCAGAGTGGGCTGGTAGCCCCTTGGAGCCAGCGGGTGGGGCACGGTGGGCACTTGGGGACACTGCCGTCGGCGTGCGAGCTGCTAGCCCTGCCCGTCTGTGGGGCTGGGGGCAGCAGCGCCTCCCCTCCAGGCCGCCGTGTTCTCATCAGCCAGGCCGGGGGAGCCGCGTGCAGGCAGGCACACCCCACTCTGGCCACTTGTCCTTGGGCAAAGTCACCTCTTAGGCTTTGGTTTCCTCTCTTGTAAACGGCAGCACAGAGTCGAAGTCGGGGGTGGAGGGAGAGTGGGGGGCATGCAGCTGGGGGGGGGGCAGCAGCCCTGTGGCCCCCAGGCCCCGTCTTCTGGAGGGCAGTTGGGGGGCTCTGACTGGTCGCCCCTCCCCACGGCCGTGTCCCTGCAGACCCCCTGCCAGGGATTGGCGCTTGCCTGTGGGTCCCCGCCGGGCGCTGTCCTGAAGCCGCCTCTGGGGAGAGGTGGGCAGTGACCTGGAGGTTCTGGGAGGGCGGAGGGCGCAGGGGAGCCCAGGCAGGGCGGCTGGCGGGTGGGGGCACCTCCCCGCCGGGCGTCAGCTCGCTGCCCCCCCAGGCTGCTGTCCAAGATCCTGAGCGAGTGCGAGGGCGCCGACGAGATCGAGTACCTGGTGGACGGCTCGTGGTGCCCGATCCGCGCCGAGAAGGAGCGCAGCTGCAGCCCCCAGGGCCCCATCCTCGTGCTCGGTGAGTCCGGCCCAGCCCCTGGGCGTGGCCGTTTCCGCGTCTGACTCCCGCCCCGCCAGTCCCCAGGTGGTGGCCGGGCAGCTCCCTGAGCACCTGCGCCCGTCCCCGTGGCCCGCAGGTACCTCGGACACCAACGGGCTCCTGCCCGCCCCCAGCCTCAACGGCAGCGGCGCCCCGGGTGGCGCCGGCGGTGGCGGCGGCTCGGCCGGTGGCACTGAGAACGGGAAGCCGGGAGCAGACGTGGTAGACCTCACGCTGGACAGCTCGTCGTCCTCGGAGGAAGAGGACGAAGAGGAGGAGGAGGAGGAGGAGGAGGATGAAGAGGGTCCCCGGCCCAAGCGCCGCTGCCCCTTCCAGAAGGGCCTGGTGCCGGCCTGCTGACCGCCGGCCGGACGCTCGACTTTCGTGGTGCTCACACGCGGGGCGCGGCCGGCTCGGTGCAGAGGGAGGAGTGGTTTATTTTTTTTCTTTTTATTGTCATTTATTTTGTTTTTCCACCCCTTTCCCTGGCTCCTGGCACCTGTACCTCTGGACTCTCCCATCAGGGGATTAAAAAAAAGTAAAATGACAAAAAAAAAGGTACAAAAAAGAAAAATGAAACAAAAAGTCAGACTCTTAACAACAAGGCCAGCCACGCACATGGCCGCTTCCGCCGGAGCCGGAGCCGAGCCCCGCGTCGGAGCTGACCCCGGGAAGGGGCGGCGGGCGGGAGGGACCCAGGAAGCCGTGCGCGCCCTCCCCTCTGCGCGGCCCCGGCCACCGCCGTCCTTGTCCCACAAGCATTCCAGCTGGCGCAGAGGCGCGGGCAGGCGGGCGGGGCGGCCCCTCTCTCTGGCGACCACCACTTTGACATTCGTCTTTGCTTTTCTCTCTGCAAATGGGTCCTCATCCTGGAGACCCCTCAAGCGCCCGCCAAGCAGCGAGCATTTTAGCCAACAAGCCATGGAGTGGGTTGGGGCGGGGG